GGGCGGGGGCCAGGCTCACACGGCGCGGGGCTCGGAGAACACGTCGCTGTGGATGTGAAGCATCAGGTCCCCGCCCGCCGAGTACTCCATCACGAAGCACACGTGCTCCGCGGTCTGGAAACAGCCGAAGAGGTTCACCAGGAACGGGTGGCCGGCGCCGGTCACGGCGGCCAGGATCCGCTTCTCACACATAAGGCTAGGGAGGGGACGGGAGGGGTGGGGGGCGCCGGTGAGAGAGCCCAGCGACCCCCGGACCCCGACTCTCACGCTCCCCAGAGTCCCCAGTCCACAGATGTCTGTGGAGGGCCTCACGGTGCTGTGTGACTTTGGGCAAGTGGCTTAATCTCTCTGAACCTCAGCTGCTTCATCGGCTAGACGGGCACTCTGAATCTACGCCTCACCCTAGTGATAGTCCCCTGTCTTCTCTTTGGGGAACTGCCAGGGGTGGGCATGCGGCTCAGGCCGATCGGATCACCCTCTCTGGCCAGAGGTTGGCTGAGGAATGGGTAAGCCAAGTCGGGTTGATTTCCACAGGAATTATTAAGGAACGAGGGTTAATGCGGGTGGAGGACCTGAGCTGCCGGGGAGCGGGGGATCATCTCTGTCCCCACAAGAGGACTGCAAGCAAAGCCCACAGAGGAAAGCAGAACTGAGAAACATCAGCTGAGCACTATGATGCAGCCATGCCTGAAGGCAAATCATCCCTGGGCTTTTCTGATTCAGACGAATAAATTACTTGTTTAAGCCTTTCCGAGTTGGAGTCCTGATTATTAAAAAGGATGCTGGGCAGACTGGGGACAATCTCAGAGCCCCCGCCAACTGTCTACAGGGGTCAGACATCATGCAGAGGGCTTCAGATGTGGCCTCCCTTTAACCCGCCCGACGACCCAGCGAGGAAAGCATCATTCCTCTCCCTGACAGATCAGGAGGCTCGGGCTCTCAAGGGAGAACTGACTGTCCCAGAATCTCCAAGCACATCTGGCAGAGGTGGGATTTGAACTCAAGGCCCTGACCCCAAAACAGAGGCAGTGCGGTGGCACCATGAGGAGCACCGGCTTCAGAGCCTGAGACCTTACGTTCGAATCCTGAACTGGCTGTGTAACCTCGAGCAGGCTGCTCAACCACTCTGGGCCATCAGCAGCATGGAGATATTAAGAGCATTTAGCTTACAGAGCTGAATGGGACCAAATGATTAACTGCTTTCTGAGAGTTGTGGCTCGAGCCCAGGCTGGGAAGGACGAGTGGCCATTATGAGCCACCCTCCCTGCAGCTCCAAGGATGGAATTGCTCTCTTGTTTCCCAAAAGAAGAAACAGGAAAAAACAAACAAACAACACACACCCCCCCCCCCGCCAAAAATGAGAGAGAGACAGAGGTCCCCAGAGGACCGGGACTGGTCCCTACCTCTCTACCTCGTCTCGGGCCACAATGTCCCCTTTCTTCAGAGCCTTGACGGCGAACAGCTCCCCACTGGGCCGGAATTCGGAGAGCAGCACCTGGATCCACAGTGGCCAGGCGGGGGTCTCAGTGGCCAGCCCAGGCCCCAGGTCAGAAGCCCAGCCCCCTGACTCCCTACCCCTCAGCTCACCTTCCCAAAGTGACCCCGGCCCAGCACCGCCAGGAACTTGAAGTCCTCAAGGGTCAGGGGTGACTTCCTCAGAGGGCTGTGGAGACAGGATACTGGTGGGGATGGAGATAGCAGGCAAGGCTGGCCAGCGGGGACCAGGGGAGGGGTGTCACCTGCACAGGGCGGGGCCTGGGGTCTCCTGGGTCTCCGAAGGCAGCGCGGGGGTGGTGGTGGATTCTTGGATCGGGGAACTCTGCGGCGGAGAGAGAGGTCAGAGCGAGGAGAGGCAGAGAGGCCCACGTCCACGAAAACTCAAGGCCCCCACGTGTGCCCCTCTCCTCCATCCTTGCCTCTCTCCCCTTCTCTTCCCCTTCCTGTGCCCCAAACACAGGCCCATTCCTACCCCAGGACCTTTGCACAGCTGCTTCCTCCTCCTGGGCCACTCATCCCCACACCTGGGCGGCTCCTCCTTCACCCCCTTAGGCTTTTCTCGCACGTCACCTTTGCAGGTGGTCAGTTGACACAGCCCAGCACTCCCTGTCCCCTTTTCTGCTGGATTTTTCTCCCCAGCACATTTTACATGCCAAGTATATTTTATCTTGAACAATACAGGTTTGAGCCGTGTAGGTCTGTGTACACACAGATTTTTTTATTCTTTTTTTTTTTTTTTTTTTTTGGAATCAGGGTCTTACTCTGTCACCCAGGCTGGAGTACAGTGACACAATTATGGCTCACCACAGCCTCGACCTCCCAGGCCTAGGCGATCCTTCTGCCTCAGCCTCCCAAATAACTGGGACTACAGACAGGCACCACCACACCCGGCTGATTTTTTTATTTCATTTTTTTGTACAGTCTCCATCACATTATGCTGCCCAGGCTGGTCTCAAACTCCTGGGCTTAAGCAGTCCTCCCGCCTCATCTCCCAAACTGCTGGGATTATAGGTGTGAGCCACCGCACCCCACTACAAAATATGTCTTTATCAACTGTTCATTATAGGTAAGGCTTCAACTGTTCATTAACAGTAGGTTAGTGATAATTACATTTTGGAGGAGTCAAAATTTATATGTAGACATCTGACTGTGTGGGGTCAGCACCCCTAATGCCTGAGGCGTTGTCCAAGGATCAAATGTACTTATTTTATTTATTGGTATTAGCCTTAATTCTTTTATTTTTTATTTTTATTTATTTATTTTTTTGAGTTGGAGTCTCACTCTATCGCCCAGGCTGGAGTGCAGTGGCACGCTCACAGCCACCCCAACGGCCACCTGCTGGGCTCCAGTGATCCTTCCGCCTCAGCCTTCCAAGTAGCCAGAACTACAGGCACATGCTACCATGCCCAGCTAATTTTTTTGGTTTATTGTAGAGACAAGGTCTCGCCAACTTGCCCTATCTGGTCTTGAACCCGCGGGCTCAGGTAATCCACCTGTCCCGGCCTCCCAAAGTGCTGGGATTACAGACTAAGCCACCAAGTCTGGTCAATTCTTTTATTTTTATTTACTTCTTTGTGTAGAGACAAGGTCTTGCTATGTTGCTCAGACCGGTGTCAAACTCCTGGTCTCAATCAGTCCTCCTGCCTGGGCCTCCCAAAGTGCTGGGATTACAAGAATGAGCCACCATGCCCAGCCTACCCATAATTCTTTATACCACATGCACATATAATTTTGAAAATAATCAAAATTAATTTTTAATATAGAAAAACAATGACCTATTGATCTGTCTCATCCCTCCCACAGGAAGGTATTATAGACACTGTTCTAAAAACTGAACCAGGCTGAGTACAGTAGCTTGCACCTGTAATGCCAGCACTAAGGGTGGCTGAGGCAGGAGAGTCACTTGAGGTTAGGAGTTTGAGATCAGCCTGGGTAACTTAGGGAGACTCTGGTTCTACAAAAATTAAAAAATCTACCAGGGCCAGGAGCGGTGGCTCAAGCCTGTAATCCCAACACTTTGAGAGGCCGACGTGAGAGGACTGCCTAAGCCCACGGGTTCAAGAACAGCCAGGGCAACTTGGCGAGACCTCGTCTCTACAATAAGTCAAAAAATTAGGTGGGCATGGTAGCGCACACCTGTAGTTCTGGCTGTTTGGAAGGCTGAGGTGGAAGGATTGCTTGAGCCCAGCAGGTTGAAGCTGCGGTGGCCGTGAGCATGCCACTGCACTCCAGCCTGGGCGACAGCGTGAGATTCCAACTCAAAGAAGAAAAAAAAATCAGCCGGGCTAATTTTCTAGGGGGAGAAACCTTAGGGCCTAGAGACAGGACATTCTTTGCTCTGAGTTGCACCTGTTCACAGGTTAATGCGGTGCTCAGGGTAAGGTCTGAAGGCAGATGGACTAGGTTTGGGTTCTGGCTTTCCCTTTGGGTGGACGGTTGACCTTCTCTGGGCCCGTTTCTCATTTCTAGACTGAAGCTATCAAGAACACCGACTTCCTAGGGCTGTTTTAAGAACTAAGCAACTGCCTGGCTACAGTGGCTCACATATACAATTCCAACATTTTGGGAGGTGGAGGCAGAAGAATCGCTTGAGGCCAGGAGTTCAAGACTAGCCTGGGCAACATAGTGTGACTTCATCTCTACAAAAAATTTAAAGAGTAGCTGGGTGTGGTGACATCTGTAGTCCCAGATACTTGGGAGACTGAGGCAGGAGGATCAGCTGAGGCCAGGAGTTCAAGGTTGCAGTGAGCTATGATCGTGCCACTGCACTCCTGCCTGGATGACAGAATGAGACCCTCTCTCTGAAAAAAACCCAAAAAGCAAAAACAAAAAACAAAACAACTCAAGCAGTCTAAGCAGGTGACCAAAGAAGGTACGTTTCCCTCCTGCTCCCAGCTGCTCCCCCAAAGCCAGTCACCATTAGCGATTCCTTGGGTGCCTTTCTAGCTGTATTCCTGTTGTTACTTCACATTTTTCTGAGTCAGGGGTCTCACTCTGTCGTCCACACTAGAGTGCAGTGACATGATCACAGCTCACCACATCAACTTCCTGGCCTGAGGTGATCCTTCTGCCTCAGCCTCCCAAGTAGCTGGGACTACAGGTGTGCATCACCATGTCTAGCTAGTTTCTTGATTTTTTGTAGAGATCAAGGTCTCACTATGTTGCCCAGGTTGGTCTTGAACTCCTGGGCTCAAGTGATCCTCTTGTCTTGGCCTCCCAAAATGCTGGGATTACAGGTGTGAGCCATCACACCCTGCATCTAGCTGAATTCTACACCCACACAGGCAAACATACCAGCAGAGGCACTGTTTCTCTCATGCCCACCACTACTACATTCCTATCTCACACCTCCCACCCAATGCTCTGTCTTAGTCTCTGTATGCCAGCATTGCAGAGAGCGGCCTCATTTTTTCCATGGCTGCATGCTATTCCACCTTGCTATTTATTTTGCTCTGGCCTGACTCATGGACCCTTGTTTCTGCTCCTTTGCTCACACAAAGTTGCTACAACCAACATCCTGAACATGTGCTTTTTGTTTGTTTTTGTTTTGTTTGTTTTGCTTTGAGTCAGGGTCTCAATATTGCCCAGGCTGGAGTGCAGTGGCAGGATCATGGCTCACCACACAGCCTTGACCTCCTGGGCTCAGGTGACCCTCCCACCTCAGCCTCCTGAGTGGCTGTGACTACAGGTATGCATCACCAGGCCCAGTTAATTTTAAAAAAAAATTTTTTTTTTAGTTGGAATCTCACTCTATCACCCAGGCTGGAGTACAATGGCATGTTCACGGCCACCGCAGCCTCGACCTACTGAGCTCAGGCAATCCTACCTCAGCCTTCAAAGTAACTGGAACTACAGGCATGTGCCACCATGCCCGGCTAATTTTTTGATTTATTGTAGGGATGAGGTCCGGCCAAGTTGCTCAGACCTGTGGGCTCAGGCAATCCTGTCGCCTCTGCCTCCCAAAATACTGGGATGACAGACATGAGCCGCCACTTCCGGCAACAATTTTTTTAAAAGGAGTAATATTTCGTGATCCATGAAAGTTCTTGACATTCGAACTTCAGTGTTTACCACAGAGGCTTTTCTGTAATCCAGACCTGCCCATTCATGTATGGATCCTCTGGGACTACTTTGATACAGATGGGGACTGTCTGGCCCACAAAACCAAAGAGGTTGACTGTCTGGCCCTTTCCAGAAAATGAGTGCCGACCTCTGACCTGAATCAAGATGAAGAACAATTTCACCACCCCACAGGCTCCCTGGTGTCTCCGGGCTTTGAGTCCCTCTGCCTGGAAAACACCACTCTCTTGACTTCTCTCGTCAACGTGCAGGGCTGGGAGCCCAGGTGGACCAGCCCCCGAGCTCATACTCTTTTTTTTGAGTCAGGGTCTCACTCTGATGCCCGGGCTGGAGTGCAGCGACACACTCACGCCTCACCACAGCCTCAACCTCCCAGGTTCAAGAAATCCTCCTGCCTCAGTCTCCCAAATAGCTGGGACTATAGGCACATGCCACTATGCCCAGCTAATTTTTAAATTTTTTGTAGAGATGGCTCTCACTATGTTGCCCAGGCTAGTCTTGAACTCTGGGCTCAATCAATCCTCCCACCTCAGCCTCCCAAAGTGCTGGGATTACAGGCATGAACCACCTTGCCTAGCTAGAACTCATGCTTTTAACCAGGCTAGAGAACCTGGTCCTACTGCAGTTGTGCTGTGTGACCCCAGAAAAGTTCCTGGTGGTTTCTAAGCCTGGAACAGGACCCCTGAAGCTGTCCAGGCCAGGCCTATGGGGAGAAGGGAGGGGGCCACTCACCAGGCTTGACGGGCTGGAAGGAGGATCCAGCAAGCTCTTCTGGGGCGAGCTGTCCAAATCAGCCCCGAGGTTCAGCTTCTCCACTGAGATATCACTGCAGCAGAGGGGAGGGTCGTGTGGCTGGGACCCAGCACCCAGCACTCAGGAAACAACAAGGGGCATGGGGATATGGACAGAGGATATGGATAGATGGATGGATGGACAAATGGACAGACAAGTGGGTGAGTGTGTGGGTGGGTGGTGTGAGTGGATGGATGGATGGGTGAACAGATGGATGGATGGGTGGACAGATGGATGGATGGGTGGATAGATGGAGAAACAGACAGATAGGTGGATGGGTGGATAGATGGATGGGTGGGCGGGTGGACAGATACATGAATGGGTGGATGAACAAACGAAAGGTTGGGTGGGTGGGTGGATGGATGGGTGGATGGACAGATGAATGGACAGATAGGTGGGTGAATGGATGGTTGGACAGACAGACAAACAAATGCATGGGTAAGTGGGTGGATGGATGGAAGGACAGATGGAAGGATGGGTGGATGGACAGACAAATGGACAGAAGGGTAGGTGGGCAGGTAGATGGCTGGATGGATAGATGGATGGATGGATGGATGGATGGATGGATGGATGGATGGATGGACAAATGAGTAGGTAAGTGGGTGGATGGATGGATACATGAAAGGATGGATGGACAGACAGATGGATGAATGGGTGAGTGGATGGATGGATGGATGGACAAATGAGTAGGTAGGTGGGTGGATGGATGGATACATGAATGGATGGATGGACGGACAGATGGATGAATGGGTGAGTGAGTGGTGGATAGATGGATGGATGGACAGATAAATGGACGAATGGGTAGACAGATGGATGGACAGGATGCCAGGGCCTCCTCTTACCCCGTGTGCCGGGCCTCAGATACTGGAGAGGCCCCAGGGCTGAAGGTGCTTGTGGCTGTGGCATTTGGAATGAGTCTTCGAAGCAGCCGCACCCATGTGGCAACATCAATGTTCATCTGCCGGGCACGCTGGAATGCCTTCCCTAGGGAATGGGGCAGGCATCACCCTGTGACACTCCCAGGACCCTGGCCTCTCCCCCGGGGCCCAGGAGCACCCCTCACCTTGCTGCTTGGAGAAGATTTTCTTCTGCCGTCGGAGCCGAGGGATCCTCTCAATGACAGGGTTGCGGAAGGTGACCTGGGGGAGGGGCCGGAAGGTGAAGATGCCCACCCAGATGTGGGTGACATGGCGAGGAAGCCCTCAGAAGCACAAGTGTGTGCACCCCAAGTATCTGGGGGTTCTGATCACCGTGACATCGAATTCAACCCCAGAGTACCATGTGACATACAAAGGGGTCAGTCAGCAACCAACTCACTGCTCACCTTCTGAGGTGCCATCTTGGAAAAGCAAGACGCAGGCAACAGATCCCCTCCAGAGGTGGGGAGGGAGTCTGACCCAACAAACTATACATCCAACTCCAGCAACCAGGGCATCACCTGGTACCCTGATTCCCCAAGTGTGGTCCCAGACCAGCGATATTAGCTTAACCTGGAACTAGCGAGAAACGCAGATTTTCAGGCCACCCTTGACCTACTGAACCAGAAGCACCAAGGGTGGGGTCCAGCACTCTTTGCTTCAACAAGCCACCTAGGTAATGCTGCCACCCACCCACCTATGGAAACCACTGGTCTAGTTTAATTCTCCCAACTCCAGTGAAATTTCTAGAAGGTGTGCAAGTCACTGAACTATAATGTCTGATATGGTCGCCATGTGTAGTGGTTTAAATTTAAAGTAATTAATATTTAAGGGCGCAGGGGCTTACACCTGTCATCCCAGCACTTTGGGAGGCAGAGGCGAGAGGAATACCTAAGCGCACAGGTTCAAGACCAGCCTGGGCAACATGGCAAGACCTCGTCTCTCAATAAATAAAAAAATTAGCTGGATGTGGTGGCACATGCCTGTAGTTCCAGTTACTTGGAAGGCTAAGGTGGAAGGATCACCTGAGCCCAGTAGGTCGAGGCTGCAGTGGCTGTAAGCAAGCCTCTGCCCTCCAGTCTCAGTGACAGAGTGAGACTCTGACTCAAAAAAAAAGAAAAAAGTTTAAATAAACTCAAAACTTTGATGCCCTAGTCACACTGGCCACACTTTAGATATAGAACATTCCCAACCATAATAAAACTCAACCACTATAGGCCCATGGACAAGAGAACTGCAGAAAGTTCTATCGAATGAGGCTTAGTATATTCTCCATTTGGTTTGGACAGTTTTATAATGGAAGAAACAATCACATTGCCCCACCACTTTAGCCACTCTTTTCTCCTCTCTGTTCTTTCGGTGGTCATCAATGTTAAGATCATGTAAGAATTTCTGCATGAGGACATGGACATAGAAAGATTGGATGGATGGATGGATGGATGGATGGGTGGGTGGGTGGATGGATGGATGGATGGGTGGGTGGGTGGATGAATGGATGGATGGATGGATGAGTGGGTGGATGGATGATGGAAGGATGGATGGATGGATGGATGGATGGATGGATGGATGGATGGATGAATGGATGGATGAGTGGGTGGATGGATGATGGAAGGATGGATGGATGGATGGATGGGTGGGTGGATGAATGGATGGATGGATGGATGAGTGGGTGGGTGGATGATGGAAGGATGGATGGATGGAGAAAGCACCCCTTGTCTCCTCCTTGTTCTTTCAGTGGTCACTGATGATCAGATCATGTAAGAATTACTACACGGGGATATGGACATAGGAAGACTGGATGGATGGATGGAAGGATGGATGATGAGTGGGTGGGTGGGTGGATGGATGGACGGATGGATGGATGACAGATGATGGATGATGGATGGATGGATGGGTAGAAACAGAGACAGAGAGATATACACAGAGAAGGATAAATGGATAGACATAGATGTAGATAAAAAGAGGTAGAAGCCGGGCTCAGTGGCTCAGCCTGTAATCCCGCGCCTTTGGGAGGCTGAGGT